CCCCGCCCCTACTCCCATACCTCGCCCCTATTCCACCACCTCGCCCCTATTCCCACACCTCGCCCCTATTCCCACACCTCGCCCCTATTCCCACAACTCGCCCCTATTCACACACCTCGCCCCTATTCACACACCTCGCCCCTATTCCCCACACCTCGCCCCCATTCCCACACCTTGCCTCTATTCCCACACCTAACCTCTATACCAACACCTCGCCCCTATTCCCACACCTAACCCCTATTCCCACACCTCTTCCCTATTCCCACACCTCTTCCCTATTCTCACACCTGGCTCCTTTTCTCACACCTCACCCCTATTCCCACACCTCTTCCCTATTCCCACACCTCTTCCCTATTCCCACACCTCTTCCCTATTCCCACACCTCTTCCCTATTCCCACACCTCTTCCCTATTCCCACACCTCGCCCCTATTCCCACACCTTGCCCCTTTTCCCACACCTCGTCCCTTTTCCCACACCTAACCACCTCACCCATACTTAACTCCTTCTCCCACACCTAAAGCCATCCCCAAAAGTCACGCCTTCCCCTACATCTCACCCTTCTGTCACACCTCAACCCTTTTCTCACATCTCTCTCGTTCCCCCACAACTCACTCCTACCCCACACGTCACACTTCTCCCACACGTCACCCCTTCCTTCACACTCAACCCCTACCTCATATCTCAAACCTTCCCCAACATCTCACCTCTTCTCCACACGTCGCTCTTTCCCCACACCTTACCTCTTCCGCCACACCTCACCCCTCTCTCACATCTCACCCTTTACTCCACACGTCACCCCTTTCCTCAAAACCTAATCCCTTTTCCCATAACAAACACACATGTCACGTATACATTTCAGTGTTGTTGTTTTTTTTAATGAAAATTCTTAATTATAATTTTTTCTATGCTGCTTTCCCATATTTCTTTTGTACCTTATGCTTCGAGCAGCTTTTAGCCAACACATACGTCCCAATTTTTGAACTTCTGGAACATGTCGAGTTTTATGAAGATATTCTTATGTACAAAACATTTCATTTATTTGGAGTTGCCTGAGATTGAATTTCGGCGAGAGATATGATAATCAAACGTGTACAAGATTCTATTCCGTTAATCGAAATCCCCTTTAAATTCTATCGAGCTTCTTCTGCGATAACAAGATCATAACTTTTTTTTTTTGTAAATTCTTTTGACATTTGAGCTTTGAGAAGTGAACAAGAAAAACTGTCATTTTAATGGATTAGATGTTTTGCCAGATAAAGAAATGCGATTGCACCATCGAATCACGGTGGCCATTTTGTTCAAATGAAACATGCTACCGGTCAAACAAGATAACAATATTGTTTAAATGAGGCTACCTACAAGCATGCTACCTGTCAAACAAGATAACAATATTGTTTAAATGAGGCTACCTACAAGCATGCTACCGGTCAAACAAGATAACAATATTGTTAAAATGAGGCTACCTACAAAAATTCTACCGGTCAAACGAGATTACCATATTGTTTTAATGAGGCTACTTGCAAACGGGCTATCGGTCAAACAAGATGACCATATTGTCCGAATGACGCTACCGAAAAACCTGCAAACCGGTCAAACAAGATTACAATATTGTTCAAATGAGGCTACCTACAAACATTCTACCGGTCAAACGAGATGACCATATTGTTTTAATGAGGCTACTTACAAACGTGCTACCGGTCAAACAAGATGTCCAAATTGTCCGAATGACCCCCCCCCCCTTACCACCGACTCACCAAACAAAAAGCTACTTATGAAACAAGAATGCCCCACACTGCCCACACCGCCCGAACAATCATCACAACTTAGTTATTATCAAATACAATTTTCTTGTGCGCGTATTTTTTTTTTTTTGTAATGATTTCAATTTTTCTTCTTCTTAAAGGTCAGCGTTCCTTTTCAATTTCTCGAGCTGTCCTGTTTAAGAAGGGAAGAAAATGCTGGCGGTTATTTCTATTCTCTGTGTTAGCCTGACACTGTGATCCCAGGGACTTCTTCTAGTTTTATTTTAGATATTTTTTTTTTTTTTTGGCCAGAGCTATTCCGTGGAATCGCATTGATTTTTGCGGGCCTTTTTTGGCAATGTAAAAATATGGCCATAAAAAGAAGGCTTACACCGTCTTTTTGTGTGGTGTTGACAGAAAAATCCTAGGGCTGCGCTTTCAATAATTCCTATCGCAGCTAACAGTAAGCTTTTAGCGGCCATGTCACACGTCCGAGGTGAAATCAGTGAAAAGAGGAGACGTTGGTGACGGTCAGAGATGGATTTTGATTTACAAGTGTTGACACCTGACGTGCCGCGCTTGATCAGACTGAGGAAACGGTTGGTAGATCGAAACGCTTAAAGTCACTGACCTGAATCAGGAAGCTGGAGTGAAGCTCTTTGGACAGTCGTGATGAACGGTCGTGAATCGGTGGACTCTGTCTTCATGGGACACGCATACGTTGTGTTCGAAACACCGGCCCAACTGACATTTCGGACAAACGGTTCTCAGCGTCTTCTCACCCGTCCTTACCCCCCCCCCCGCGCCCCTAACCCACAATTGTCATATCCCCCCTCCCCCCTCACCCCCAATTGCCCTTCCCCCCCCCCCACAACAGTTATCTCCCACATCAGTCATCTCCACCTCCCCCCACGCGAGGCAAATGTTTGATAAACCGGATCCATGTCTTGCGTAG